CGGATTTCCCTGTTCCCTGCGATGCAAATCCCCTCGGGCAGGACATCCTGCAGCTCGGCGAGCGCCCCGCAGGGTTCAGGAGAAGTCCTCCCTCCCCTCCGAGAGGCACCTGGACGCAGATTTGCATGCTTGCAGAACAGAAAAGCTGGGGGTGAACAGGTTCGGAGCTGAAACTGGTTCCCCAAACCTCTCCCAGGAGCGTCTCCAATAACAGGGATAATTAGGGAGCTGCCTTTTATTGTCACGGCCTCAGCTGCAGTTGTGGTTTGGAGAGGGGGAAGTTTTATGGCTTTTTGTTTCTTTTTTGACGGCGGGATAAATGGGGATCCTCCGTTGGAAGGCACCTCCAGACACCTCTGCTCATTAAAATATAAATTAAAAGCGGTTAGGCAATTAAGTGGTGTGTTTGTCAAACAATGGTGGGTGAGCGGCGGCTTCGCCCAGCGCCACGTGCTGTGGAGGGGGCTCCCGGCTGGGGGAAGATCCTGGCAGTGCCCGGGAGGGATCGGGACCTGCCGCGGGCAGAGCTCCTCAGGCTGGCAGAGGCGCCTCGACCCTGCTGAGGTAGAGCACAGGGCGTGCCACGGGGAAGCATCGAGAGATTTTGGGCTCTGCACACCCCTCCAGGCTCAATACACCTGTCAGAGTGATCGAAAGTGACTTAAAAACCTTCTTAAAAGGGTTCCTAAGTCTCCTTTATCAGCACAAATCTCATTTTCTAACCCTGCCAAGGACTAATGCTCTCTGGTTGTGAAACAGTTTTGGACAACCCAAGTGAACCCTCCGCTGAGCGGGAGGTTGAACCAGAGTGCAGCTGAGGGTGTGACTGGGGAGCCGAGTTTTTGTTGGAATCCAGTGAACCCAGGCTCAACAGGAGAGATTTACCTCAAACAAGGGTCTCCCAGGAGGGTGTGACATCTCGAGGAGTTTGTCATGCTCTGTCAGGGCCGTGAGAGGCTCAGGAAGGCCTGTGATAAATCGACAGTTGCAGCAGAGGGAATTTGATTTGGAGTTGTGCTTCCAACACCAACAATAGCTTTGTTTTTCTTAGCTCTCAAGGGAGTGTTTCGAGGCAGGTCATGGTGGTGGCAAGGGGAGGAGGGCATCCTTCCAAGCCCTAAAACAATGAGCAGAATGATAAAAAAAAGAGAGATATCTCCACTCCCCTGACACCCTGCCAACTCCCTGAGCACATAAAAAGGGGCACCCAGGCACGGCACCCACAGGACTCACCTCCTCCTGCCTCTGGACCTCCTCCTGCCTCCGAACCTCCTCCTGCATTTGCTTCCTTCATCTCAGCTCTTCTCTCTTCACGGGCTGACTCTTGGGGACCCATCACCATGTCTCGCCAGTCCTGCGGTCTTGGCAAGGGCTTCAGCTCCAGCTCTGCTTGCCTGGGAGGGAGGAACAAGGTCACGTTCAGCTCCGTGTCCCATGGAGGAGGCAGGGGACCTGGCAACGCTGGCGGCTTCAGCAGCAGGAGCCTCTACTGCTTGGGAGGGGGTAGAAGTACCTCTCTGGGAGGATTCGGTGGAGGTGCTGGTGTCTGCAGAGGTTTTGGGGCTGGTGGCCCAGGCTATGGTGCTGGGGTAGGATTCGGTGGTGTGGCTGCAGGCGGCTTTGGCGGAGGCCTTGGTGGTGGCTTTGGTTGCTTTGGTGGAGGATTTGATGGTGGGATAGGGGGTCAAGGCTTTCCCCCTTGCCCACCGGGCGGCATCAGAGAAGTGACCATCAACCAGAGCCTGCTGGCCCCACTCAACCTGGAAATCGACCCTGAGATCCAGAGGGTGCGAATGCAGGAGCGGGAGGAGATGAAGCAGCTCAACGACAAATTTGCTTCCTTCATTGACAAGGTGAGAGAGGCTTCAGCTCGGGGCTGGGGGTGGGCTCTGGGCTCACTGCAGCTCCTGCTGGCTGCACTTGCTGGGAGGTGCCCCTCCAATAACACCCAGAGAGCCAGGCACTGCCCGGGCCACCCCATGAACCCCTGCAGGCAGAGAGATGGTGGCTGGAGAAGTGACTTGCCCAAAGTTATGGAGAAACTCAGGGATAGGATCCTTGGTTCTTAAAGCCCTGATGCTGGTGCTGCACCACGGGACCATGTACCCACCTCCGAGCATCCTCAGTGGTGTTTCTGCTGGTGGACTCTGTCCATCTCTGGGCTGAAGGACTTTGGGTGGCTGGGTGGCTCCTGTTCTAGAGGAGGAGATGCCAGTGCTACGAGGGTCGCCCTGTTTCTCCTGTGCAGAGGCTGTGATACTGGAGAGGGAAGGTCACCCCCCTTTGCCCACTCACCCCAGAGCTGAGGTCCCACCCGTCCAGTGGGACACGGGAGTTGTTGCTTACTTGGGAGGAGAATAGGTAGCAAAGTTAAACTCATTAAATTGAAAAAATGTCAAAAATATGGGGGAAAAAAATCCATAAAAAGATACATAATTTGGGCATAGTCTGAGTCTTTTTCTACCCACTCCTGCACTTGCTCAGGTGCGGTTCCTAGAGCAGCAGAACCGAGTCCTGGAGACCAAGTGGAAGCTCCTGCAGGAGCAGGGGGGCACAGGGCCGGGAGGCAGGAACCTCGACCCCTTCTATGAAACCTACATCAGCGGGCTGAGGAAGCAGCTGGATTGTCTCTCAAGTGAGAAACATCAGCTGCAGTCAGAGCTGAAGAACTTCCAAGACATGGTGGAAGACTTCAAGACCAAGTACGTTGGTTTTGGTGTAGTCATGTTTGGTGGTGAAAAAGTAGAGATTAAAAACTTACTTTGAACAGATGAAAAATCGAGAGAATTGTAAGAATTTGCAATATTTCACTAGTTACAATGATTAGAAAATGTAAAAGGTTTTGGGGAAGGTTTCATCAACTGACTTTTGACAGTAGGAGGTGACTTTTCAAAGTATTTCTCAGTGTGTATTGTCTGAGTTATGCTTTTCACCAAAGCAGGATCCTCTGCTGTTTGTCTTCCTCACTTAAGAATCCATGACATTATGATTTAATGAACTAATTAGATCAGTTGCTAAACCCTAATTTCCTCATGGATCCCTTCCCATAATATCCTTCACGATCTGCAACTTTGAGCTCTCTTTGGAAGGATGGTGTGGGGTTAAAAAAAAAAAAAGAGATCTTATTTTCCTGCTATAATTATTAGATTAATTTATCCAGCCAGAAAAGGCTGGAGAAATGCTACCAAGGAAGGAGCTACAAAAAATGGTGGGAACACAAGTCTGGGACTCATCAGGATCAACCAGATCCCTTGAGCTGCTGAGGTTGCAGGTTGAAAATTGGCTTTGTTCTGGAGATCCCCTCCACCACTCAACGCTCTGCAGCAGTCCCCTGCCCCAAAGAGCAGCTGTAAATGCCCCATGGCAGGAACCTGAAGGTCCTCGGGTCTTGTAGAGGGAGCTGGGGTGGCCACAGCCACCAAGCCTCACTTCAGGCAGAGGCAGGGCTCCTCCTCGCAGGGTTTCTCCAGCAGGGCACTGGAGGTGGCAGGACCCAGAACTCATCTAGAGAGGTGAAGTGCTGTTGCTTGTCCATAAATCTCGCTGGTGTCAGGTCTATTTTTGCTGCGTTCATTAGTCTGAGGCCAACGCCAGCCAGGTGCCAGCAGCAGCCAGAGCCAAAATAAGCAGAGATTCAATCTCCCTCGTTACGATCAACAGGTACGAGGAGGAAATAAACAAAAGGACAGCTGCAGAGAACGACTTCGTGCTCCTAAAAAAGGTAAAGTCCTTTTTTTTAAGCCATCCTGGTGAGATGTCTTGCTTCCATCAGCACTGGTTCATTAGTGTCAGGCCTAAAGCAGGAGCCCAGGGCACGTGCCAGGGCAGAGGAGCTCCAAGGGGCCCACCAAAGGTTAGATGTGAGAGACAATGGGGTGCAGAGTGTTCTCACCTCCCATTTCTGCTGCAGGACGTGGATGGAGTCTATATGAACAAGGTGGAACTTCAGGCAAAATTAGATTCTCTGGCTGATGAGATCAACTTCTTGAAGTGTCTTTACGAAGCAGTAAGTGGTCCTGCTGCTCTCTGGAGGGGGTGCTGGGGTGGAGAAGGGTTGTGACACTGCAAGGAAATGATGAAGGGGCTAAAGCCAGATCTGGTGTGAACTGCAGGAGCTGTCCCAGATGCAGAAGACCGTTTCTGACACCTCTGTGGTTGTCTCCATGGACAATAACCGAAACCTGGACCTTGACAGCATCATTGCAGAGGTCAAAGCCCAATACGAGGAGATTGCCAAAAGGAGCCGGATGGAGGCTGAGTCTTGGTACCAATGCAAGGTGAGTGTGCCACACACTGGTGTGACCACCGATGTCTGGGGAGCTGGAGGAGTTACTGGTGGCAGCTCAGACCACGCTGAGACCCTGGATATTGCTGGTACTGATCTAGCCAGGCTGGAGCTGGTGTGCACATGCTCACCTCGGCTTGCCTGGGGTGCTGTGGAGAGCTGCTGTGAGGAGGTGGACCTCACGTGCTCCTCTCACTTCTGCCCTCCAGTACGAAGAGCTGCAGGCTACGGCAGGCAAACATGGAGACAGCCTGAGGAGCACAAAGACTGAGATCTCTGAGCTCAACCGCACGATCCAGAGGATACGGGCTGAGATTGAGAGCGTGAAGAAACAGGTAAGGGTGGCAGTTTTTGAGAAATGGGTGTGGGCTCCTGGTAATGCCCTTCAGAGCTTCCCTCAAAGCAAATAGTCTGGTAACAATCATCGTAAGTGGGAGGGGACCTGCTGTTCTTGTGAGGACTGAGCCCAAGCGACCTGGGCTCATGGCTCCATCTCCAGCCAGCTCCCCCTGCCCATCACACCCTGTCTTGCCCTCCAGTGTGAAGCTCTGCAGAGCTCTATTGCGGACGCCGAGCAGCGCGGGGAGGTGGCCCTGAAGGATGCCAGGGCCAAACTGACCGAGCTGGAGGCCGCCCTGCAGAAGGCGAAGCAGGACATGGCCCGGCAGCTCCGCGAGTACCAGGAGCTGATGAACGTCAAGCTGGCCCTGGACATCGAGATCGCGACCTACAGGAAGCTGCTGGAGGGCGAGGAGTGCAGGTGGGTGGGACACAGCAGGAGCTTGGCTGCACCCTGCGAAATGAGGGGGAAGGATACAGCACATGGCAGCTCCTCTGTCAAAATATCCATGGTATTGCCTGTAGCCATGGACTACAGCCCTGTAGCTGTTGTGATTTTTGTCCATGTTCTGATGGACCCAACCGGGCTCCCTGGAGCTGGACCAGTCCAGATGCTCTGGCTGCAGCTGACGCTCTGTCTCTTTTCTTTGTAGGATGTCTGGAGAGTGTCAGAGCACTGTGAACATCTGTAAGTAGCGTTCCCACGGGAGCACAGCGGGCTGGGCTTGGTGCTCCAAAACTTTATGGTGGCACCAGAGGTAACCTCGTGCCTTCTGTTCCTCTCTGCAGCTGTGGTGGGAGGCGGATACGGCAACGGACTGTGCCTTCCAGGAGCAGGAGGAATCGGATTCGGAGCTGGAAGTGGGAGAGGCAGCTGTAACACCGGCGGTGCTGGCTTCTGCTACAGCTTAGGAGGGGCTGGATTTGGCTCTGGAGGGCCAGGATTCTGCTCTGTGGGTGGAGGGTCCAACTCAGTGGTGGTGGGGTCTGGCTCTGTCCTGAAGAAGACCAGCAATGTGTCTGCCAGTCGGAGAGCCTAGGAGAGCAACCTGTGTCCCCCACCCCCGGCACCCAAAGGAGAAAGGAAGGAGATTTCAGGATGACCACCCCCCACCCCTTCATTGCCAAGGTGATGTCCACCAATTTCATTTTGAACCAGCACCATCCTTCAGAAACTGCACAGAAGAGAAAATACAGCTCAGCGGATCAGCTAATGACCGAGGTTCTCAGCAGAGTTTGAGAGCAGCTCCCCTCCCCACTGCTCCCCTCGAGGTGCTGCAGAGCTGCTGGTCACCAGGGTGCTGAGGACTCACTTGGAAGCAGGACCTGCCTACTCTGGGAGCCCCAAACAGGGCTGAGCTCAGGCGATGCAGCAGCGTGGTCCAAGTGAGAGGCATCCTGGGGCAGGGGACAGGCCCACGTGCTGCTCGGAGAACTGGCGTCTTGTGAAGTCTTCACTTCTTTCAAGATCTTGTTCTGGATCCAGATGTGGTGCAACTTTAATCAGTGCTGCTCATCAGCCAGGGCTCGAACTCCCAAACAAGAATTTCCCAATGGTGACTAGTCCCAGCTGAAGACATTTCTTACCCCGCTGCAGTTTGGGTTTTGTTCTAAGTAAGATACCTGCAGTTTCACCCCTGGTCTTTAGAAGCTGCTGTAAAACATTTCGTTTTGCTCAGGGTTTCCCTTTTCATCACGGTCATGGGAACAATTGTGCTTGTTTGCTTCAGCCTTTCTCCTCTGGCATGTGCCATACCCTAATAAACACTAGAGGCACTAAGCTTGTGTGGTTTTCTCTCTGACCAAAGAGTTTCGTGTTGCAACAAGACTCCTCTTTTGCTGAGATCTGAAAGTGTTACCCGACTTTCTCCTGCCCTTTGAAGTTTGCATTTAAAGGAATCCAAGTGAAGGTGTAGCCCAGTCTCCTTCTCACCCCCCTCTCTGACAAAACTCGGGTAGTTTCTAAGCCTGGCAGGGGTGAGGTGGTTGGGGGGGCAGGCTCAGGGTGATGGTCTGATCTGGCTGGCTCTGTGGAGAGCTTGTGTCTGTGAAACATTCACATGCTCTGGAATGAGCTCCGTGGGAACGAGCCCGTTCCTGGCAGTGTGGCAGGACAGAAGGAGGCAGCCGGGTGGAACCTGGGTGCTGTTCTCTGTCCTGCTGGGTCTCCTGGGGTGACAGAGTCAGCTGCCCCATTAGAACAGAACAGACTTTCAGACTTGGTTGGTGTTAGGAGACCTTTCCCATCCCCCTCCTCTTCCTGAGCCCTTTCCTTGCTCATGTTGGCCAACCTGGGATATTCCCACTTCTGACCGACCTCTGCCTCCAAAGGACCACTGGCACCCACCCGTGCTTCCCTGTCCTCTAAGGTGATCCCAGCGCTGTGGTGCCCGCAGCTGGTGCTGTCATGGCAAAGACATTGCACAGCCCTAAGCGCTTGTGGAGGATCCTAGAAGGGGTGGTGTGGAAGAGGGAAAGGTGATCATCACCCCGCCAGCTAATTCACAGCTAATCCCTCAGTACCCATGACGTTGGAACCAGCCCTGCAGCTTTTACTGCTGCCTGGACTGGCCAGGGATCTCCAGAAGGTAACAGAGACCATGGGAAGAGTAGGATCTCAAGCTCCTCTCAAGCCCTACCTTTCCACAAAAGTAGAATATTTTTGATGATCTGTAAATTTAGAGCCAAAACCTCCTGGTGTGGTTTGACCTCTTGCTCAGGAGACCTTGATTCACATCCCTGGTCAACCGCAGACTCGCTCTGCGACCGGGGTGAGTCACTTCACTCATCCCCTGCTCCCTTCCCTGCCTGCAAGTGCTCGAGACACAAACCTACCAGCGGGAGGGGAACGTCCCAGCGCTGCCAGCAAGGGCGTGCCGCTGCTTGGATGGGGAGGTGGTTTGGGCAGTGGTTAAATATTCCAGTGGGTTGTAAAGGGATCTGAGATGGCGTTGAATGAAGACATCGACTTCCCTCAGAGTCACCCCCATCTAGCTCCTGCTGTGTAAACTTGCCACCAGAAAATGACTCCTGACATCAGGGCAACATGGTGAGGAGGCAAAAGGCTTCTAGATGTGTACAAACACTGGAGCTAAAGCAAACAGACACCCAAAAGCCCTCGCCTTTTGTTCCTGTGATTGCACCAGCAATTAGGGGAAAACTGGACTGAGATGTGACACAATTTTGGCCTTTTGTTGGAGGAGCAAAAACTTTTTATGTGGTTTGAAATAAGTTTTGTTTAATTTTGTCGTGATTTCCCCCTTGCTTTAAAAGTCTCCTCCAAAGCACAGTGAAAACACTTGGATGTCAAATGTTTTATGGGAAGTGTGTGGGAATTAAATGCTTTGCTTTGCTTTGCTTTTTTCCCCCCACAAATTCTCCCTTTCTGTGGTTGAAGATTATTCCTGAAGTCAGTGCATGCTGACTGACAGTGTTGGTGCTGAAATCAGCCTTTTCCTCCAAGCATTCAAGGCTTGAGCAGCTTTTCCTGTATTTATTTTCATAGGCTCATAGGACCATATATTTATTTTCATAGAATCATAGAGCCATAGAAAATCATAGAACCCTAGAATCACAGAAAATCATAGAATCATAATAAAACATAGAATCATAGAAAAACATAGAATCATAGACTAGTTTAGGTTGGAAAGGGCCTTTAAAGGTAATTTCCTTCATTAAGACTTTGGATACAGTGATGTTGTTTGAGATCCCCACAGTCTGAAGCTGCCTACTGCGCTCGAAGCGGGTGATGATGTCGAGATCCAGCTCCCCGGCTGATTTCCTAAACCTGGCTGGGGCTTAACGAGCACATTGTCTAATCACGGGCAGCCAGGACCTGAGCCCTGTGCTGATGGAGCACAGCTCCTGGGAACACGAGGCTTTTCGGATCACGTCATCCCGCTGCCAGGTCTTGCCTGCGATGTGTCTCCTCTAGACGGGAAGGGCTGTTGAGAGACGGCTCCTGCCTTCGCCCCGAGAGGGGATCGGGTGTTTGTCAAGTCTTTTGGCTCGTGGCTGCGATGATGTTTGAGGTTGTGCTTCAAAACCTCCCAGGCTGGGCAGGTGTTTGTCCCAGCCGTGGCACGTAGGAGATGAAGTCTTGCTGAAGACCAACAGGACCTCCTCGAACCACGCTGCACAACCACCAAACCCCTCGTTCTCCCCACCCCTTCGGTCTCACAGTGATCTCTTATGAAACGTGTTTCTTTAGCCCTACCTGTGCCCTGCTCTGCTCCCTCGTGTGCCCGTGGATCCGCGCTGGTGCTGGGGAGGGAGGTGGGAGGAGGACAGTGCCCGGCCCGTTGTGTTTTCAGTGCAAGATGCCAGCTTAGCTGCACGCTACGCCACGGTCCGAGTCCTTAGGCACTTTGAGAAATAGGTGTCTGGGCAACGTTTTTAGAGACATTTAAACATCTGAAGACACCCAGAGTTGCTAGTGTGGCTTTTCAAGAAGCACTTAATTGCCCGTGTCCTGTGGGAACTTCCGGGAGCCTTGCTAGACAGTTACCAGCACAGTTACATGCCTCACTAGCCACAAAGATTTCTGAACTTCAAAACTTCTTAGGTGGCTTTAAATAATTCCAAACCAATAAACAGAGGAATTTCTCAATAAAAAAGGATTAAACCCAGACAGTATTTTTTAGCTGATAAGCAGACTTCTGCGAGACAAAAAGATGAATGAGTGATGGGTCATAGTCTTCTTGTTGCAAGTTGAACTCGTAAGTTAATCCTTCCTCAGCCTGGCATCAAGAGCAGAGTATTCTGCTAAGCTTCAGCCTTCCTAAAACCTGTTGACTTATTTTAAATAAGCTTAAGAAAGAAACCTCCCTGTGCTCTTGAAGGAGGGCTCAATGTGGCTGATGAGCGTCTACATCTGCCAAAACCAGATTTGCATATAAATACTGAAGTAAGCCAGGCAGCTGAAAAACCTCAAGAGAAAGTTCTTGTGCCCTGTTCTCCTCATTTCCATGTGCCTCCATGGCCAAGCCGAGCTCTCCAGCATCCTCTGCCTAGCTAATTGCATTTAAATAGTTGCAGGGTTTATTACGTGGGCAGCACGATTTCCATGCTTCCCTCTTTTTGTCCATTCTCAGAGCTTTCCATCCATCTGTCCATGCTTCCCACCGTAGCAGTTGGGCTCCTGATGTCTTCTTTGGCTCTTCTCATGGTCTTGACGCCTTCAGAAAATCCAAAAGGTCTTTCCCACCTGTGATATTCATGACATTTCTCACTGCTGCTGAGATTATCTTGGCATGAGGACTCCAGGACTCACTTTCAGTGAGAGTTTGGTTCAACAGCAAATGAATTTCCGGTGCCAACCACTGCTCTGTTTCTGGTAAGGTTTTATTTATCAAAAAGACACAGAGCCTCATCAAAATGCAATTTGCTGAGCCCTGGCTCTAGATTGAGAAACTACTTCTCGAAGCCAAAGGCAATTTTCCATGTAAAAAAGGAGACTAAGGGTGTAGCATAGGTGTGTTTTGGGAATTGTGAAAGCTGTGCTACAACTTGGCATGAACCACAGCGCTTGCCTGCCATGGGGCTTTGGAGTGAGAGATCAAAATAGAGATAAACACAAGCAGGGAAACAACCACAATGCATGAAAGGTGAAAAAAAAAAGACCAGCATATCCTGGGGAGACTGTTACTATACCACAGAAGCACAAGACCTCTTAGTCATGGAGTGCTACCGTTTGGTAGACACAGTTGTGTCTTTTTTAATTTTCTCCTGCATTATAGGGTGTGTTTCTGGGTAGGGTCAGTGTTTGGCAAATTGAAGATGAAAATCTGTAAACCACGCCACACTGATGAAGACAGCAACCGTCTCCTCCTTCACGCCCATGCAAACCCAGCCCACCTCCACAAACAGATAAAAGAGAGCAGCTACTGCCCTCCAGCCAGAGGGACTGACTTCCCTTCTCCTTCCACTCGCCTCCTCGCAGCACACCTCCACTGAGCTTTCTTATCCTCTCGATTTTTGACTCCACTTGGAAGAAGCAGCCATGTCTCGGCAGTCTGTCTGCAGGAGCTTTGGAGGCGGGAGTAGAAGGGGCTACAGCTCTTGCTCCGCCATCGGTGGTGGCTTTGGAGGAGGTGGCGGCAGAAGCAGGAGCAGCTACAGCTCGTTCTCTGTGTCCAGGGGATTTGGAGGTGGTGGACGTTGCGGAGGCTTTAGCAGCAAGAGTCTCCATAGCATAGGTGGCAGTGGAAGGATTTCCATGGGCGGATGCTATGGCGGTGGAGGCTACGGAGGCAGGATGGGTGGCTTTGGTGGAGGCTACGGAGCAGGACTAGGCAGCTTCGGTGGAGGAATGGGTGGCTTTGGAGGAATGGGTGGCGGCGGAGGAATGGGCGGCTTTGGTGGAGGAATGGGTGGTTATGGTGGAGGAATGGGTGGTGGAGGAATGGGAGGCTTTGGCGGACCAGGCTATGGCATGCCAGTCTTTGCTGGTCCTGGTAGAGGTGGCCCTGGAATCCAGCCAGTGCAGATTGACTCAAGCCTCCTACAGCCAGTCCATGTTGAGATTGATCCCCAGATCCAGCAAGTCAAAAACCATGAGAAGGAGCAGATCAAGACTCTTAACAATCAATTTGCCTCTTTTATTGATAAGGTGAGAGGGTGGGATTGTGTTTAATTAACCAGGAGGAACTTGCTAATTCTGCAGGAATGTCCTTTCTGAGCTAAATATCAGCAGGGTGAGAAGCTTGATCGGAGTCTTTATTAAGTGCTGCTAGGGAGGAGATGAGAATCTCTTCCACATGAGATCAAAGCTGTGTCTTCAGGGCTTCAGCCCAGCCTGTTGCACCAGGATTAACTAATACGTTCCTCTTGCAAGCAGGCTCAACGCCTCCAAACTGATCCAAGCTTCAGGCACAGATTTTCCCTCCTGCACCATTCTCTTTTGAAAGACCCTCTCGTTTAAGTATTCACTAATTTTTTTTTCCCCCTCTTTGTCTTCAGATATCCAGGTTTTTAAATCTAGATGAGAAATTTAAGGTTCCCTGTGATGGGAATGTACTTGGGGCTACATTTAAAAGCTCCTTTGTCTTGACTATGACTTAGAAATTTCCTCCTTCTCCTGACCTCGCAGTTTAGGAAATAACTGGAATGAAAAAAAAAGAGTTACCTGGTTCTCTCATTGTTACACAAAGGAGAAACTTTCCAGGTGGAGAAAGAGGAGCTTTGGTGGCTGCTGCTCTTCCCCATGTGATGTGGATGCTCCATGTGTTGACTTTCAGGTCCGCTTCCTGGAGCAACAGAACAAGGTCCTCTCCACCAAGTGGGAGCTCCTCCAACAGCAAGGGCCTTCGGGGCCAAGGAAGAACCTGGATATCATCTTTGAGAATTACATCCAGAACCTGAGGAGGCAGGTGGACTCGATCATGTCACAGAGGGGCCAGCTGGAGTCAGAGCTGCAGAACATGCAGCAATACGTCGAGGATTACAAAACCAAGTAAGTGCAGGAACAGTCTAACCCAGAATGCAACTCGAGCAGCTTGTAGTCACCTTTCCCACACACGCTTTCTGTGGCAACTGCAGACATAGTTTTTTCAGTCTAAATATTTTATTCTGTTGGTTTCTCTTTTTCTTTTTTTTTTCTGTTATTTTCATTAGTGTGGCCTTAGGCAGGAAAATTCAGGAAACTCAGCTTCTATTTTTACTCTCCATAGGTATGAGGAAGAGATCAACAGGCGCACAACTGCTGAGAACGAGTTTGTGGTGCTTAAGAAGGTGAGTCACAGGCACTACAAAGTGATCAGGCTTCATCTGTGCTCGGAGGGGACTCCTTCGTGGATGGGAATTTGTAGAGATCGTAGGATCTGTGGGCTGATTTTTGAAGTCCCTTGGTTTTAATTTGCATAACTGAATAACACCCTCAGCACAGACTGTGATTTCCATGACCCTGAAGGACTCCCAAGAGGAAATGAAATTATTCTCTGTGATCTTCCCTGTAGGACGTGGACTGTGCCTACATGACTAAAGTAGAGTTGGAAGCCAAGGTGGGAGCTCTGACGGATGAAATCAACTTCCTGAGGTGCATGTATGAGGAGGTAAGAGCTCTGCCTGGGCTGGCTGGAGATGCCAGGTTGGATTGGGTGTCCCCGTGGATTTGGTCTGGAGAGGCTGCCTGGAGCGGCTGCCCTGTTCCCCCCTCCTCAGGTGGTGGGGCTAACTCCTGTGCTGTTGTAGGAACTGGCTCAGATGCAGACGATCAGCCGGGACCTGTCCGTGGTGGTGTCCATGGACAACAACCGGCACCTGGATCTGGAGAGCATCATCGAGGAGGTCAGGCGCCAGTACGAGCAGATAGCTCAGAGCAGCAGAGCTGAAGCTGAGGCTTGGTACCAGAGCCAGGTGAGTCGGGGAGCAGTCAAGGAATTTTGGGTGGTGGACAGAGTTGTCTGCAGAGAATTTATGATGTTGTGAGGCATCTCTTCAAGCTCATGGTGCTGGAGGCCCTGTAAGGAAGTCTCAGGAGGATTGTGTTGCTTTGGAGGGATCTGACTCACGGTTTCCAAAGTGTCCAGAATCTCATTTTAATGGACAGTACAAGTGTCTCCATAAAGATGGCCAAAACTGTGCATTAACTAGATAATACCTTCCCAAAGTCACTCTTCAGAAGCCAAGGACTGCTTATTAGTGCCACAAAAATCTATTGCAAAGTTAAAAAACAGAAACTGATTCTGAAAACCATCTTTTATGTCGAGCTGGGCATCATGACAAACATGATGGGTCCTTGTACCAGCACATGAGCTAGGAAGCTGCTGACAAGCCTTGTCAAGGCATGAGGAATGCTTCACTGAAGGTTTCCTTTTCCTTGGTGCCATCAGTATGAGCAGCTGCAGAACACAGCTGGAAGGCATGGGGACAGCCTCCGCAACACCAAGATCGAGATCCAGGAGTTGACCAGGAACATCCAGAGGCTACGGGCTGAGATTGAGAACGTGAAGAAGCAGGTAGGTGGTGGCTGATGTCTCATGGGATGCTGGCGTCAAGCTGGATCACAAGGGACCATGTGTGGAGCACAAATGTTCTGTTTCAGTCACCCCTTGTTTACTTCATGTAGATGTTTCCTTTTTTTCCCCCCTCCTTGTTTTCTCCTCCTTGAATTTGTGGGCTGATCCTAAGTAGCAAAATGAGATCTAAGAAGTTCCCTTTCTTCCTCCTCAGAACCAGCAGCTGCAGGCAGCAATTGCTGAGGCCGAGGAGCGGGGGGAGATGGCCCTCAAGGATGCCAGGATAAAACTGGAGGAGCTGGAAAGTGCCCTGCAGAAAGACAAGGAGGAGCTGGCTCGCTTGCTGAAGGAGTACCAGGAGCTGCTGAACATCAAGATCGCGCTGGACGTTGAGATTGCCATGTACAGGAAGCTGCTGGAGGGAGAGGAGAGCAGGTGAGACCTGACCTCTGGCTTGCGAGGGGTGTTGTGCTCTGTGCTGGGTGGCCTGAGCTTTGATGCTAACGGTGGAATCTCAACCCAGGTCTTTTGGTTAAAATGGAGAGGAATGGTGTCTGGCACTGCAGGGGACCTTTGGACGGTCAGGACTGATAATTAGCACACCCTGTTCAGCACAAGGGATAGAACTACAGTTTAATTTCTGTTATGTGCAATACTTGAACATCAAATACAATGAACATCCAATCTGGAAGAACCTCATTGTGAAGAGGAATTGTCAATGCCTTCCCTCTTTAAATATTTTACTGACACCAAATCTGCTGATAAGGATAAAAGAGGAAAATGGTTTGATAATGAAAGCAGAGTTCTCAGTATTTTCAATGCAGGTTTTGTTGGGTGATTAAAAGGTACCAATTTCCCCTTGCAGGCTGTGCAACGATGGGATGTCCAACATCAATGTCTGTAAGTATCTGCCTGTGT